TTCAATAAATTTGTTGTTGAATCATAGCTTTGCATTTTCTAAAATCCAATAAACTAAACATCCAAGGTTATTTATGATGTAATCGGGACAGTATAATTATACTGGGTATATAGTTGATATACGGGATATATATTTGATATACCCCTGATATATGAATGGATAATGTCCCGTGAATAACCTAAACGGTCTATAGTATATGGATAAGGCTGGGTACCTTATCCTGGCAACACTATGGATACGACCCACTCTGTAAAGGTTACAGACGACTCGATCCAGGTCGTTCGTGTGGAGACATGCGAGTGGGGGTATCCTAAAGAATGAGTTTGTATAAGACCGGACCACGAAATAGGCAATCTTTAGATGTAACACCGTTAACTAATAGGTTGCTATTTCTTAGGATGACCAGGCAACTTATTCTCAATCCTAAGTGAGTTATGGACTCCTGCCCGTGAGGACTCTTCCTCTGATCTGTATTGGTGAGAGTGGCTCGAGTCGCCGACTCAACATTCCTACCATTTTGGGGACGAGACCGAGTGGGGAGCTGGGAACATAACTTCACAAGATGGAATTCACTTCTCCCCAACTTTAGGGGAGTAGATGAGTGTTCCCTTAAATGCTGACTCCGGGACTTGAACAAGGGGCCCCACCCTCTCATTGGCCGAGAGGGACTTCCGGTTATTGGTTGGACCATAACCGGGTTGTTCATTAGAGGAGTAGTGGTGTTTAAGGAGTAAGATGTAACTCAGGGGTAAAACGGTAATTTGATCCAACTTGAGTTACAAACACTCGTGAAGGATTGACTCGTCATTAATGGTCGTATATCCATGGACACGAAAACATTCTACAGTGAGAAGAGTGCAACTGCGGGTCTTTAGTGGAATGACCCGTAGTTAACGAATCTAGATTAACTCGGTGAAGGAGTTTGACCGATTAATCTTGCATCGTTGGAACTTCGGATCTGTAGGTCCATTAATTCCCCTTGCTAGCTTATAACGGGTAAAACGAGGATCAAGCTTTTGGAAGAATTTGAATTGTTCAAATTACTTAAGGGATTATATGTATATTGATACATTATAATATATAGTTAATTGTAAATTAAAACTATATATTATGAGAGAAATTATTTGAATCAGATTCAAATAAAATTACTATGAATATGATTCATATTAAAACTATACGTTAAAAATTAATGCACATAATATGTACATTAAATTTATAGGTTATACAAGAGAGAATATGGTTTAATTAAATATGAGATATTTAATTAAATGTTAAATAATTAATTGTTAATTATTTAATATTACATTTAATTAATTAATTATTAATATTAAATATTTATTAATTTAATTAATAATTATTTAATATTATATTTAATTAATTAATTATTAATAATTAGAAAAGATACAACCCATTTTAGAAAAAGAGATAAGAAAGCATAGATGGAGACACCAGAACGCAATAGCAGCAGTAGCTCCTCTTTGTCGTCAGCTCTTTTCTCGAAAATGGTGAGATTCCTGTCCCTTGTCTTTTCAAACACCAAAGAATATTCTCCATTGGGATGTGTGTGTGGTGGCTAGGTCATCCTTTTCCTTTTATATCGAATCCCAATTTTAGGGCAACCAGTTGGTAATTGTACGGGCATGGTAAAATATCCCCGTGTGGGATAGTTATTGCACTGTGAATCCATGCTTCAGAAATTGTTTGCTCCAGTTTTCTTATGCTCTGTCTTGAACAAGCTTCATCTCTTCGCCGGGCTTAGCGCCCGTCTCATGCCTTTGTTCTCAGCTTCCAATCCTGCAAAAAAAAGCGAATAATAGGAGAATTCAGTACTATCTTAGACCAAAGCATTCAATACATAGGACTCCAGCTCTCAATTCATTTTCTATATTTATTCATGGTATGCAATAGTTGAAATAGACACACATTGACGATAAATTGCACAAAACTTTCAAAATGATGACTATAATAACTCTCTTTTGGACAGTTATCACCCTTCTCTAGAGGGTGGTACGAGGCTGCTCCTCATTTGGCTCCGAAGCAATGGCAGTGACAGACAGCCCAACATTTTTAGCAGGGGAGGCCAGTGGAGTGTCGAAAACCTTCGTAGCTACCGACTGGTTAGGAGCATCGACGAAATTTTTATCCGAATGTTCACTTTTTGACAGAGGTAGTGATACACGACAACCCAAGCGTATTGAGCTACTCGAGCCACAAGCCACTTGAATCCAATCGTAGAGATGATTCAACTCGAAAGGATAAGAGTTAGAGGGATTACCTTTGCAGTCATTACCTTGAGCAGACAGATTACTCACTATGCTCGAGGCTGGAAACACTCCACGAGTTTAATGACCAATCAAACAAGCATGCTCCGAGGGGTTCAAACACGAAGGCGTAAGTTCAACCACACAAAGGGATTCGAGATTTGGGGGGGCGGGGTTTGCACAAAGCAATCGAGAGAAAACACTCACTCTATTTTATTCAATTCGAAAATTCTAAAGTGCCTAACAAGGAGAGGATACATGCCTTTATATAGGCCAATACACTTGACCTTCTAAAGGAAATAACAAAATTAAAATTGGTAAATTCCTAAAATGTATAAAACTTGCCTAAAAATAAAATTTAAATTTGATAAATAAAAAAAATAAATCAAAGATAAAATCTTAATCAAATCTCCCAAACTAAACAAAAATAAAAAGAAATATATTCCTTAATTGGGAGGAGTGGGCAGCAAGGCAAGCTGGGCGGTCATGGGCACGCGCGGTAGGGGCAGGCTAGCATGCTGGGCATGCGTATGGGCGGCAGACAAGGGCACTGAGCGTGCGGCATGGGCACTTGGCTTTGGCTGGGGCGTTGGCGGCACGGTGCTGATGGGTTGGGCGTGCACTTGGTCGGACACTGGTGCT